TACATTTTTGACGTGACATTAGCCACTCAATGTAAAAATTTGCACACAACAATCAACAAAAACATTTGGAGAATCATTTTGAAGCCTAATGAACAATATTGTTCACTAAGTTTCAGGTCATGCATGAAGAGTCAAATTCTTCTGTTACAGTTCTTACTTCTCAGCTACATGTTATCATCTTTTGGCAACAATCAGCTCCTTTGAACTGCCACACTTTACCCTCCAAAAACAATCCAACGAACAAAGATTCCAAGCATGGTTATTATAATTAAATTTTATCAAATTTTTTAACATTTGCAAAGGTATGTATGTCTTATCTGTTATTTCTTTCATACTTCCCATTGCATGCATGACTGTCTAAATTGGCTTCTATAGTAAATCTATTTCACTTTGCATTAACAAATTTACACCAGAAAAAGGAGTTCAGGAAATAAGTGAGAGATAAAGAAACTCACCAATCAGCATTAAAGTGACAGCGGTCCAAATAATCATCTGAATAGGTCTACCATACTGTATTTGATATTGAGACCTCTGTATCTGTCTTTGAAAAGCTCCAAGCCAACCACAGAGCTGCTTATGGGAAGAATCGTCTGTAAATTCGCAAAGACAGCTCTTACTCTTCTCATAGCAAGCATTCATACCCTATAAACCCAGGAAAAACATAGAAAATGGTTGTCAAATGCAAATGATCGCAAAACAAATCATTCCAAAACAACTTTTTTTTTTTCTTTTAAAGTTGCTAAAAGAAGAGAATAATAATAATACATATGTTTCTTGCTAAAAGTGAAATATTTTCAAATTTGAGGAAGGAAAAGTTGCTTACTCGACTTATCTGATGATTCTGCAATGGTATAGACTCTTCCATATCTTCATAACTCACAGCCTTCCACTTCCTAAAGCCATTTCTGTACCACTTAGGCTTAGCTGCTGATTCCTCCGTTCCTAACTCAGACAAACTAAGTATCCTAGGAGGGGGAAGATTAGGCTGCGTATCAGATAACTTCAGAGGAGATTCCTCCGCAGACACTGAAATCGTCCATACCCCTAAGTCAGCACAAGCACTCGCTACCCTCCGATGACCTTTCAAGCTATCCTCCATCAATTCCGCTGAACGCAACAAATTGGCATGACAGGACTTCTTCGAGCAAACTGAAGCTTCTTCAGTCATCCTGCTTACGGCCTCACGCGCACCAGCTGAAGGTGTCACTAAAACCTTCTCCACCTGAGCACGCGAACCCGATAAGAAAAGAGCAAGCTCATCCCTTTCCCCTTCGTCAAGCCGTACCCACGCCAAACCACTCTCTTCCTCCTTCTCTAAACTCGACTCCTTCAGAGCTTTCTCCACCATCGAAATCTTGCTCCGAATCGCCGCTACAAAATCGCTATGCCGAGTTACAGTAGCTTCACCAGCTGCAAGAGCATGATCGCTGTATCTTACCGCCTTCTCCAACTCCTCCAGCTACAAATTTTCTCTCAACAAATAAAAAAACCATCCCATCTAAACGCTAAACAAAACAAAAAAAAGTAACCCTAAACAACGATCTATACCTACCTGCCATTTCGCGGTACCTAGGGCTGTATGAACCTCCCGCCGCAGCTCAACGACGAAAGCATCCCACTCCCCTCCCGAATCCATCCCACCTCTCCTTCCCTGCATCCATCGACGGTACGCAGATTCCATCCTAAACAACAAAACAAACACAGAAATAAAGTCCGGATTCAAGAAAACAACGAAAAAAAGAAACGAAAATGAACAATTCGGTACCTGTCGGTGGATTCCTGCACTTCCTCGGCGGCGTAAAAGAAGGGATCTTTCTCCCATCGATCGAACGCTGTTGCCATCGTGAACCCTAATTAAGCTCGGATAACGAACAGATTAAGCACAACAGCCGATAACCTGAACTCGAGCGATCAAACCCCTCTCCCTCTCTCTCTCTCGAAAGTTTCCTCCTTTCTCTCTAAATATTGTCGGGCGCCGTCGGAGAAGGGAAGACCACCTTCTTCAGCCGTAGGATCGGAATCGCACCAGGAAGGTGGGATGCTTGTCGCGGCACGGTATAGTGGAGGGTTCTTCGGGCCGTGTCGGGCCGCAGAGGAATGAAGAAAGGGAAGAAAACGATAAGGAACAAACACGCTACAAGTTGCGTCGGACACGTGTGGTGTACATTGCGGCTGGGCCCCGCACGCATTGCTGAGGCCACACGCGTGAATAGCGTGTTTGGGCTGCTTGGAGTTAAAAATAATTTTTGTGGGATATAAGCTATAATTAATTTATGATTATAAAATTAAAATTTGATTAATTCAATTAATGTGGGATATAATGGGTTATTATCTGTACTGCAGCTAGCATGATTTTTGGCCTGGCTTAACTGGCATGCCAAGCTTAGAGAGATTTATTTATTTATTTTTTTTAAAAAAATGAGAGTCCATTTTATAAAAATTCTAATTTAAAAACAAATTTATAAAAAGAAATAATAATTCGCTGTCTTTTTTGGATATTTTAATAAGAAAATAGATAAAGACGTGTCCCAAAATTATTTTTTATTATTTTAAAATAGATTTAGCCAACTTTGACCTAGCTCTTTTTTTTTTTTTTTGACTTAAATGGCGCTTTTATGATATACTGAAACAAACTCAAATAATTTAAAAAAATATAACAATTTATTGTTTGTTTATATATAACATAAAAAATAATTTAAAAATTATACTACTGTTATTTATTTAATTATTTCATTGATATAAGCTTGATATTTCATGAACAAATTTATATCATCTTGCATGAATCTAAAGGCATGGGATAGATCTCGAAGAATTCTGTTGAGCAAATAATTTTCAAACTTCGATTGAGAATCATCAAGAGCTTCAGTCTTAGCAAACTAGTCAACTGACCGACTCGACGAAACAGACCCGCAGGTACCAACGTTGATCTAATCTGAATCAAATCAAGTCAGGATCAATAATTTAAACCATTTTTTGAGGCTTTTTGGACACGCTTGGAAGGTCAAACAAATGATGAATCTGGCGAGTCTATTGTCGAATCGAGCGTATTGACAAGACGAATCCGGTGAGCATAAGATTGCTCAATTCTTACATCGTAAAGCTCTCCAGACCGTCCGATCAAAGTGGTTCATACTTCTATATTAACTGCACCCAAAACTATAAATGAAGTCCTACCACTCTCATGATGGCGAAGGAGAGTTTGAGATCTGAGGAAGAGCTTGAAGCTTTTAAAAGGAGCTGAAGTTCAACACCACCATCGTCGACCATTATCGACTGCCATTGACCTCCGTCAACCACCACCGACCGTCGTCGACTTTCGTTGATCGCTGCCCACCGCCGCTGACCGTTGTCGACCACCAGTGACCACAACCAACCACTACCGACCGTCATTGATCACTGCCAATTCTTGTCAACTACCGCCGACCGCCGTCCGTCATAGATCACCGCCAACCACCGTCAACCATCACCGACCAGACATCAATAATTGTTATCAGTCACCGTTAGTTCCACACAACAAATTTGTCAGCACGTCAACATTGTAAATTTGAAAACCTAATAAACATTTTCTTATCTAGGGTAAAATTAGTTGCAATTATAATAATCTTTTTATAGTAGAACTCATCAGCTGAGTCAGACCCTCCGTGGTTTTTCTCGTTCCAGGTTTTCACCTAAAAACTTATGGTATCGTTATTATTTGTTTTCTTTCATCTGAGTGTGTGCTAAATTCTTGTGCAACGCTAAGTCGTTAATTCATTACTCTACCACCACGAATCTTCTAGCACACATCAAAACTTATAAGAGCTGAATATGATAGAACAAGAGTTATTGTGTTTGACCCGCTTGCCATGATTAAGAAGGTGAACGAGTCGTTTATAAACAACGAGTTTTTTTCACAATCTTAATTATAACTAATCATTTATGGATCATAATTTTAGCAAAATAAATTGAGATTTGTCATGATTAAATATTAGTGAGAATATTTTGACTTTTTATCAGATGTTGTAATCAATGAAAGAGTAATAGAGTCATCAAAGCTAGACTTTTGCAGCAATTAAAAAATGTTGTGCTGTTATTGAAAAGGTTATGAGAGGATGTTTTGTGTCATCGAAAGGCCTGTTGCCATGACAACACTAAAATCAGAGTTTTCTGTTCTTGTGGTTAAGAAACAAGTTAGGAATAATTCAAATTTCATTTGCATCAAATTCTCACACTGTAAATCGTTTGTTTTTTGAGGTCGAGTCTTGATGACAATCAAAATTTATTCGAGGCACCTGCAATTTATTAATTATGATCGCAATTAGAAAGCTGCCACCGCATCTTGGCAAGACAGGTGGGAAAATATAATCTTCAGCGATAGCTTTTTGAAAAAGCTGCCAAAATACTGTTTATCCAAACAGACAAAACTGCAATGTGGCGCCGCACCGCCATCACATTGTCGCACTAAACGAATAGATTAGAAATTAATAATTAATTATTAGGGCATGGTTTAAATTTGAGTCCACTAGTTGGTGAGGAAGCTCTCTACCAATGCCTCCACAAAATCTTGCACTATAGATCGATTAATAAGGCAAAAATGCAATTTTTTTTAAATCACAAGATCAAGCGTAAATAAATTGAACCAAACTCTTAATAGAAAAAAAAAAATCTAATATCCCTCCAATTTTAGTTAAGGATATTGAAGAGGCATTGATGAATTACGATGACAATTAATCAATAATGGATGGATGATACTAATTGATCAATGACAATTATTTTATAATAAAAGAGCAACAATTGACCAGAGATTGCCAGACAATAACAATCAAGTAACAATAGTCACAAAGATAATTGAACCATGATAATCAACCAACAACATAAATCGATGTGGCAGTGATCATTCACATCCATCCTCGCATAGAGCTCTATATTTTTTAGTCCAAGTGATTAAAGATAAGAGATTTTTATATTTTTTAAGGGTAATATTTTAATTATTTTAATCAAAATCATAACATATTTTATGGGATAATGTTGATCCTATTAACATCTTCATATAGTCCACCTCCCTACATTGCTAAACCACTTTCATACTTGTTGTGGATGCACAAGTCAAATTAAATAATATATCAAGATTGCATTAATAATCCATTCAAGAGGCAAACATTAATAATAATAATCCAATTTTTAAAAATATCATATTTTAATACATGACACAATGTATTCAAACAATTAAGAAATGGGTGGTCAAATATTTCATTGCTAATATTCAACATGAATGTTGGTCAAAATGTTCCTTAAAAATAAGAATAATGGAAACTTACATTTATACCCCATAAGTCTCTTATATTTACATATCTGACATCTAAGCTTTCATATTTACACTTATAATACTTCAGTGTGATAAACTTGTGTATGAATTCTGTATTTAAGTTCTTAAAAGTGGATGTTAATTACATTTTTGACGTGACATCAAACATTTCAGTGGTGTATGTGTAAATATTAAAATTTTAGGGTTAGATGTGTTATAAATATAAGAATGATAATATATAATATGTGCCAACTTCATTTATCCCCAATGTTTTCAAGTACTTCAAATTAGAATAGCATATGCAATTATTGATGATTTATATGGATGGAATGATGGGAAGATATGTTTTGAATTAGATATTATGATTGAAATGTCTTCAAATCCAATTTAAAATTATTAAAATATATGAATAATATGTTAAAATTTATTTAATAGGCAGTTTGATGTCTCATTCATATTAAATTTTAATTAAAATATTATCACCTAAACTTATTCCCTAGCTCATAATAGGTGTGGAACCAACTCCTTTTGGGTATTTAAATAATATACAAATAAAATGATGATGATAATAATAATAAATAAATAAGTAAATAGAATTATATATAATTAATATTTTTAAAGAAAAAAATAAACAAATAGCAATATAGGCATTTACGTACATACCAACCGATTCTTACGTATTTACATATTTAACGGGTGTATTTTATTTTTGACATTTATACCACCCAAAACATTCATATCACATCAAATATATATTTTTCATGCATGGGTAAGGTAGAATGTATGTAAAAATTGAAATTTAGATGCTAGATATGTAGATACATAAGAAAAAGGTGGTGTTTATGTAAATCTTCCTTAAATTTACAAGTTGAATTTAGAAATATATAAGTAGACAAGGAGTAGGGGTGTAAAAGAGTCAAGCAGATCTCGAGCAGCCCTCGGCTCGAGCTTGATTAATTTTATCGAGCTCGAGTTCAAAGTCAAACCTAAGTCTATGAGTTTGAGTCCGCTCTTGAGCCGGCTTGTTGAAAAAGTGATAATACTTTAAATAACTTTATAATCGGTTAACAAATAGAATGCACAATTAAGAGATAAATAAAAAGAAATCTCTTAATATATAGAAAAAAATATTATTTTCTCAATATTTTTAATACCTTAAAAATCAGTTTCTAATATTTACTATTTTTTGAGAATACTTTGTGTTACTATTTTTTTAATGAGTAGAGTCGGGGCTGACTTGAGCTTGGCTTGTTAGCTCATCAGCTCATCAGCTCATCGAGCTTAGTTTAGGAGCCGTTTATCGAGCAGAGCTTGAGCCGGCTCACGAATCTGCTTGACTCCCCTGCACCCCTAATAAGGGGGTTAAGTTGAGCATTTTTTGTAGTGAGAAACCCACAAAACTATAAATTAAAGGTGTGTGATCATCCGATATTAAAATGTTATTTAAGGAATAAAATTGAGGGTGGGCAACACTAACATGGTATGGCTTCTTGCTTCTAAGATTGTTAGTAATATAGCACAAAATGTTAGACCTAATTCATTGGTTGACCAACCAATTTTTAATTTTTTTGCAGAGAGGGATGGGGACAAGTGATAATGACATGGGAGCCTTTGCTTCTCATCATTTGAACACACAAACCTATGTACTTCAAAAAAAAAAGTTTGAAGATATATATAAATGAAAAGTAATCTGAATTGTTGATTATCCTTCCACATAAAATGGTTTCCTATTTATATATGTGGGAGGGTACAATAAATGAAATTATATGTCTTACTCTGCTTTAAAAGGGATGTTACATAATTTATTAGGTATTTTACATGTACAAGCC